CCCCCTCCCCCCAAACGCCCCAGGAGCCACCCCCTAGAGGCTGCCTCCCCAGCAGCAGGGCTGTGTGAGGGCAGGACTGTACAACCCCCCAGGGACGGAGTTTTCCTCTACCCCCACTCCACACCCAGAGCCCCCACCCCTCCTTTCCTGAGGGTCCCTCTTATTGAGGACTCTCCCCCCCCTGCCGTGCAGAGACTGCAGACCCAGAGTGCCTTACTTGCATGAGGAGGGCCCTGACGGTGGACTTCCCCATGCTGAACTGGTTGGCCCCTGACCGGTAACTGTCTGGGGTGGTGAGCTTCCAGAGGGCGATGGCAACCCGCTTCTCTAGGGGAATGGCGGGTCTCAGGTGGGTGTTGCGTCGTGAGGACTCTCCCCCCCCTGCCGTGCAGAGACTGCAGACCCAGAGTGCCTTACTTGCATGAGGAGGGCCCTGACGGTGGACTTCCCCATGCTGAACTGGTTGGCCCCTGACCGGTAACTGTCTGGGGTGGTGAGCTTCCAGAGGGCGATGGCAACCCGCTTCTCTAGGGGAATGGCGGGTCTCAGGTGGGTGTTGCGTCGTTGGAGGGGAGGGGCGAGCAAGGCACACAGCTCCTAGAATGTCTCCTTCCTTATTCTGAAATGTTGGCACCACTGCTGGTCATCTCATTGCTCTGTGAGCAGCCGGGCCCACCAGTCGGAACTGGTGTCAAGCCTCCCGAACCGCCTCTCCACAGTGGGCTGCGGTTGCCAGAGTGTAGCTGCCGCACCCAGGGAGAGAGTCTCCAGAGTGGGCTCGGGGTCGAGGTCCTGCAGGAGCAGGATGGCAGCTGGCACAAAGTGCTGCCGAAAATGCATCATGGCCGTGTGGGGCCATCGCATGCCCAGGGGCAACTCCAGCTCCATGGTACCAGTAGAAAAGCTGTGGGGTCCAAAAAACCACAGGGCAACCACAGCAGGCACTGCTGAAGCTTTGCTGTCCCTCGCAGAGGCAGCAAGCAGGCAGCAGAAGCAGGGAACCGGCTGTCCGGGAGGTCCCTTTAAGCACCTGTCTCTGCTAGGCCCCAGCACCAGCACTCGGAAGCAACTGGTGACCTTAAGCCCTGCCTGAAGAGGTTCTGGGTGGCCTTTTGTGTGAGACAGCATCCTCTGAGTCTAGGCACTCTCTTTCGCAAAAGCACATTGGTTTTTCAATGCACTTTTGCAGTGTGCAAAAGCGGCGAGGAGTCCTGTGGCGCCTTACAGACTACAAGTGTGGACACTCCCTCGCACAAGGAGTTTTTGCGGACGCTCTCTTCCACAAAAAGCTTCGTGAGCAAGAGGCCTGCAGTCTAGACATAGCCTGCGTGTGTATGGGAGTGTGTGTGTGGTAGTGACTGTGTGGAGCACAGAGACAGTGTGGCACAGCCTGGGTGTGTGTGACAGTGACACACCAAGTGTGTGCTGGCTGTGCTCTCTGAGAGAAGCCATGTGCTGTCTTTTTATGGAAAGCTGTCCTGCTCTGTTGTCTGCCCCTTCCCCCACACTGCAGAGATGGGCTGTGTGCATGAGAGGGAGAGAGCACAAGCACTGAGATCTTAGACCCAGGCTCTGTCTCTTAAGGCAGGCACTCCTCTGAGTCACTTACCGTCCATGCTTCAGACTGGAGCAGCTCCGCTGTGGGTCTTCCTCTCCCCGACCCCTGCTCTGCAGAGATGGGACACGGGTAGGGGGACACCCTGACTTCCACACTCCCCTTTCCCTCCTCCTCATCCCCGCTCTGCACAGGGAGCAGGGGAATCCTGGAAACAGCCTGGCTGTAGGACAGAGGAAAGTGGGGGAGGGGCAGCTGAACAAAGGCTGCCTGGGTAACTATGCATGCTCCATTAATCAGCTGGGTGGCCAGAGAGAAATGCTTGGTGGACTGCATCCAGCCCCCAGATCTGATTTTGGCCACCCCACTTTATAGTAAGAACAAGGAGAAGTCCCGTGGCACCTTATAGACTAACATATTTATTAGAGCATAAGCATCCAATAAATTGATGCATGCATCTGATGAAATGGGTCTTTGCCCACGAAAGCTTATGCTCCAATAAATCTGTTAGTCTATAAGGTGCCACAGGACTCCTCGTGGTCTCGCAGATTCAGACTAACACGGCTCCCCTCCGATACTTGCCACTTTATAGCATTACCATTCATTGCAGTTTTTCAGGGAATAAAACACCATGGGCTGGAGGTCTGCAGAATCAGCAGCCTTAGCCTGTATGTCATTCATTGGTGTTAGCGATTCCTTTTTAAATTTGTCATGGACTTAGGTGTTCGTGACAGGTGTTCTTGATGTCTCTGAAGTAATTTGTTTTAGGAATAGCTAAATTATAAGTTTCTGTCAATGTATAGCATGGGCCCCGTCAGTGCACAAAACTCCCATTGAATGCAGTAAGGTTATGTCTATACTGAAAAGTTAATTTAAAATACCAGCCGTTATTTCAAATTAACTTTAATAGCATCTATACATGCAAACCGCTGTTTCGAAGTTAATTCAAAATAGCGGAGCGCTTAATTCGAATTTGGTAAACCTCATTCTACGAGGAGTAACGCCAAATTCGAAATAGCTATTTCGAATTAAGTGATGTGTAGACACTTAATTCGAAATAGGGGGCCTCCAGCCCTTCCCAGGGAGCCCCGGTGGCCACTCTGGGCATAACCAGGAAAACTTACTCTCCTCTCCCCCAGCCCCGGAGCCATTAAAGGGGTAGACCCT